ATCATTGATGGACTCGGGTGTGGCAGCGGTAGTGAGGTTGGCCCAGGATCGAACATTGTTTCGTTCTGCTGTGCATAGGGTCGCTATGAGTCGGTTCCAACTCGATGGCACCTGACAACAACAACAACCTTTTACCTGCTGCTGCTTGGTTATTTGTTTGTCTAACTTTGAGAAGAGAAGGTGATACAAGGCTTGATGAGGAGCAGGGAAGGCTGTCAGGATTTCACACTGGTTTAGATGGCTGGACATAATGAGAGTTCATAAAACAGAGGGTATCCACTCTGGAATCTGCACGCTGGGGTCCTTCTGATTTGAAAATAAATCCGCTGGATGGACAATCATGGTAAATGCAGTGGGCCTGTTCCCTCATATGATAAAGTTAGGATCTTTGGAGTTACTTGAATATTCATTACCAAACACATGTTTATTCATTAAAGTTACCACTCTCACTTTTGTAATCACAGTTTCTCACAGAGCCAATGGATTGTGTTTGTGTCAAGATCAGTGACCTACGGACTGTGTTTCTTCTAGAGAATCCAGCCTCAGCTCCCAGAAGAAGACGGTGATCACAGTGACAAAGAAGATGAACAGCCCCAAGTGGTGGTTTTAAAAAAAGGGGATTTGTCAGCTGAAGAGGTCATGAAAATTAAAGCAGAGATAAAGGCGGCCAAAGCAGGTATGTCTGAAAGAAGCATGGGTACCCTCACAATTTAAGGAGCCTGGAGTGAGAAATGGCTTTATTTATGCAAGTATGGTGTGTTCTGGTAGCGTAATCGGGCTGTGAACCACAAGGCAGCAGTTCGAAACTACCAGCTGTTCCATGGGAGAAAGATGAGGCTTTCTGCTCCTGTAAAAATTTACAGCCACGGAAACCCTGTGCAGGGTCGCTATGAGTTGGAATCGACTCCACAGCACATAACCACCACCATGGTGTGTTCAGAGCACAGCATTTGAAGGGGACAGTCCTAGGTTTAAACCTTGACTTTGATACTCAGCAGATTAGACGTGTGACCTTGAGCACGTTTTTTCACCTCAGCCTTAATTTTCTCATCATTAATGGGGACGGTCATTGTACCACTTAATTTGTTGGTTGGGAGGATCAACTATGAATGTAAGGAAAAGCATCCTTGTTTTTAGAAAGAAGATGGTTTGGTTTACAAACTAGTCAACAAGTGTCTTTTTGAATTATGATTAATACATGAAGTAAGGTATTTTTTAGTATTGGAGCCCTGATGTGGTACTATAGAATAAGCACTGGACTGCTAACTGCAAGGTCAGCAGTTCAGACCAACCACCTGCTCCTCAGAAACCCTATACAGAGTTGCTATAAGTCCAAACCAACTCAACAGCACTTAACAACAAAACAAACATTAATTACATTGTTTTAGGCAGAAATTCTGGAGTTCCAAACAGTCACTTTACAGAATACTTAGAAAATGCAACTTGACTGGTAAATTATGGAGTATTTCAGTGAGTTTTTATTGAATGACTACATGCCTTGTGGGGCATAGAGCTAGAAGCAACAGAGAAGATTAGACTGAGTTGACTCAAAGACTTCCTTAATATAAGATTTTCTTACCATTTAACTTTCCAATAAAAACAAGTCTGTATATAGACATAGCTCATTTTCCTGTGCTCCCCATATATTGTATTTTTTACAGATTGAAGGTTTGTGGCAACCCTGGATCAAGCAAATATATCACACTTTGATAATTCTCACAGTATCTAAACTTTTTCATAATGTTAGTGCACACTTAATAGACTACTGCACCACAGTGCTATCAAGTTGATTCCAACGCTTAGCAACACTGTATAGGGTATCCAAGGCTGTAACTCTTTATGGGAACAGAAAACTTCATTTTTCTCCATGGAGCAATTGGTGGGTTTGAACTGCTGTCCTTGTGGTTGACAGTTCAGTGCTTATACTACAGCACCACCTGGGCTCCTTTAGGAGACAGCAATGTAGTGTAAACAGAACTTTTATATGCACTTTGTTATTGTTATGTGCCATGGAGTTGATTCTGATTCATAGTGACCCTGTACAGGGTTTTAGAGGCTGTAAATCTTTACAGGAGCAGAAAGCCTTCCCTTTCTCTGTGGAACAGCTGGTAGTTTCAAACTGCTGACCATGAGGTTAGCAGCCCGATTCGTAACCACTACGGTACCAGAGCTCCTTGGAAATCTGAACAGTCAAGACTCACTATATTGCAATATTCACTGAATCTGCAATATATCTGAGGTATGGTAGTTTAAGCCCTCTAGCCACTTCTCCGAAACCCTATACTGGGTCGCTATAAGTCAGAACTGACTCAACAGCACTTAACAACAATAATGCTTGTATAAAGAGAAATGAATTCCTGTGTGGTACAAATAATTAACGTGCTTAGCTGCTAACTAGAAGGCTGGAGATTTGAGTTCTCCAGGTGGTCTACTTCTGAAAAAGTCAGCCATTGAAACTCCCTGGAACACATTTCTCTTTTGATACACATTGGATCACCATGAATTGGAATCAACTTGAGAGCAACTGACTTTACAAAGGTTGATACAGAGGAAAGAAAGTCCTTTAATTTTACTTTTATTGCAGATGAAGAGCCAGCTCCAGCTGATGGAAGAATCATGTATCGAAAACCGGTCAAACGTCCCTCTGATGAAAAATATTCAGGTTTAACAGCAAGCTCAAAAAAGAAGAAGACAAATGAAGATGATACAAATAAGCAGGACTCAGTTAAAAAGACCTCACAAAAGCAAATAAAAAATAGTAGCCTCCTTTCTTTTGACAACGAAGATGAAAATGAATAACTGTATATATTTTGGACTTCGTTTCCATTGAGACTTTATGTGGTACTTTTTAAAATAACATTTTTTTCCTATTATAAAGTCATACAAGTTTATTATAGAAAATTCATAAAATTAAGATTAAAACTATGTTGATCCACCAATATTCCATTGCTAAATGCCAACCATTTGGAAATTAACTACTATTAATATTTTGTTATTTCCCATGTATGGGTTTTTGTTAAACGCTGTTGAGTCGGTATCAACTCACAGCAACCCTGTATAGGGGTCCGAAGCTGTAAATCTTTGCCGAAGCATCTGGACTTTAACTTCCAACCTTATGGTTTGCAGTCCAGTGTTTATCCTACAGAGCCACTGAACATCCCTGTGTGTGGGTATGTATATAAATTACGTTTTGTAACCACTGCGCTTCTCTGTGTGGGGATATGTGTATATAAGTTAGGGGATTTTTTTTTTAAACAAAATTGTGGTTATATTGTATATATTCTGTATCCAGGTCAATAAACTTCAAAATTTTGGCTATAGCAATAGGGAAATTTTAAAATTAAATGAGTCACCTGTTGCATCTTTTTCATTAGCAGAATCCTACTTTAGGTTGGAGAGATGATAATGTGCCCAGGGTAAAAATACCTCTCGAGATCCTGCTCTAAGGGTTGTCATATGAGTCAGCGCTACGGAGATAAGAGATACAAGCTGACAGTTCTACTAGCGTTTTGATGATAGAGTTGGCAAGCATGAGCATTTGCCCTTCTCCCTTCATCCTGCCGTAAGCACATATGGGAAACCTAGGAGTGCCAGAGGCATTTTCAGGGTTAAGGAAAGAAGCCACATGTACTGGATGGTACAGTGGAAAGACTTGGGCTTGCATCCCGGAAGGCATGCTTCATGGAATGACTGCACCAACTGTGGACTGCCAACCTCTGGTCCTTTTGGTACATAAACAGAATAATCACCCTCCCAAATGCATTCTGATAAAGTAAATAGTGAAGCAGTTCAGAAATGCTTACTGGAAATCTTTGAGTGCATTTCTGGTGATTTCATTAGAGTAAATTGCCAGAAGCAGAATTATTAGAGCAAAGTATACTTTTAAAACTGTTGATGCTTACTGTCAAAGTACCTTCTAGAAAGGTTACTTAAAATGCATTCATCACCATCACCTTTTAAGAGAACCCATTTCACCTCAACCTATAAAAGTTGCACCTGTCTTGAACTGGTGGTGGTGGTGTTGTTATTAAGTGCCATCTAGTCAGTTCCAAACCATAGCGATCCTGTATAGGGTTTCCCAGGGGTAGCTGGTGAGCTTGAACTGCCGACCTTGCAATCTTTTAATTTTTATCAATTTGATACACTGAAAATGGTATTTAATAATTCATTTAAATTGGCATTTTCTTTGTTCATATCCTTGTATGATTTTCTTTCATTTTGTTCATTTTCCATTACTTTAGTCATTTTCCCAAAGAAGTCGCTCTTTCTCTTTTTCCCTAGATTAGTGAATATGTTGTTTTTGTTGTTGTGAAGTGCCGTTGAGTCGGTTTCAACCCATAGTAACCCTGTATAGCTTGAATTGCCGACCTTGCAGTTCAAACAGCTTTGCAGTCTGGTGCATTAACCCACTGCACCACACCAGGACTCCAGATTAGTGAATATACAACATATTTATTCCACAATCATTTTTTTTTTAACCCTCTCTCCAGTCATTTGGAGGCCTGGAGTGGCACTGTGGGATAATGCACTGGACTTCAAGGTCGGTGATTAAAATTTATGAGCTGCTCCTTGGAACCCTATACAAGGTCACTGTTAGTTAGAACGAACTCTAAGGCGTTTAACAATATCCAATAATTTACTTTCCCTTTCCCTTTGTTTAGTCATATTTTTCTTACTAATTTACAAATTACCTAACCTAGTAATCTTTGACTTTATTTTTCCCCTGCTTTATTTTTACTGTTTGTAATTACATGTTTGTTGTGTTTATAATTGTTAACTTACGAACATTCTTATGACTTTGGTGCCATATCTGTCTCTTCATCCATTTTAACTAATTGCTATAAAGAATGCTCAAAAGTAATCATGTAAGTTGGCTAAGGAGTCCCGAAATTGTTGTTAGGTACCATCAAGTCACAAATCATAGCAACCCTATGAGAACAAACAACAGAATAAAACACTGCCCAGTCCTGGGCCATCCTTGCAATCTTGGCTCTTTGAACCCATTGTTGCAGCTACTGTCATCCAGTGTCTCATTGAGGATCTTTATCTTTGTTGCTAACCATCCACTTCACCAAGCATTATGTCTTCCTCCAGGGACTGGTCCCCCCTAAAAGTGTCCAAAGTATGCGAGATGAAGCCTTGCCATCCTCACCTGTAAGGAGAATTCTGACTACTTCCAGGATAGATTTGTTTGTTTTTTCTGGTAGCCCATGGTTATAGTCAGTATTCTTTGCTAACACCATAACTCAAAGGCTACCATTTTTCTTTGGTCTTCTGTATTCTACTTTTGCATATATATGAGGCAGTTGAGAAAATCATGCCTTGGGTCAGGCGCACCTTAGTCCTTAAAGTTACATCTTTGCTTTTTAACACTTTACAGAGGTCTTTTGCAGCAGATTTTTCCAATGCACTATGTTGTTTGATTTCTTGATTGCTGCTTCATGAAATGTTGATGTGTACCAACAAGTTAGTTCCAACTCAGCAGTCCTGTGTAGGGTTTCTGAGAGTGGCTAGTGAGTTTGAACTACTCCTGAAGCCATTCAACAATATTGATTTTAATGAATACTAACATAAATCAGTCTTTTTTTCCCTTATCTGTATCATTGCTATATCTATTCTTATACCTACACCATGCTATTTAAAATATGTCTTAATATCTGGAAGAGGAAGTCTTGAGGGACTTCCTCTTATTGACTGCTATATTCTCAGTCCCCAGAGTAGTACCTAGCTCATTGAGTACATAATAAATATAGATAGAATGAATGAGAGTGTTTCCTTAAGTCTTTTGTTTTTATAGATCTCTTGCAGGTTGTTCACCTGATCGTGCCCACTGCGGAACCAAGAATTTGCTTTGGCCCTTTGACTCTGGTTTCTGAAAATAATCTGATAATGAACATACCTTTGCCTTCCAGAATATCCCAGCAAGTAGTGCATACATAGACACATACACACACACACACAATGCATAAATGTGTATGTGTAAAGATAGTTAACAGTCTCTGTGAATTTTGTTATCCATTATAGAGAATTAACTAGCCTATGGGGGGATGAGGCAGCAGGGGTTGGGAATTCAGAACCGATTTGTGTAGATACAGCTCTGGATAGTAAGAAAAAGCTGCCACGGACACTTGATGAAGAAGAATAAAAGCCTTTCTATGACCCGTGACATACCCTGGGGGACTAGAGAGGATAAGGAGGGAGAACAGCTGGTCTGAAGTGCAGAGAGTTGTACAGACTTCTAAGCATATGGCTTCTTCTTGGTGACCTGGCCTTACATGGCCAGGGATGTTTTGACCTAGCTCACTATAGCTGGATATGAGGTTGATCTAACGCTGGTGGTTAGGATCAGAAATGAATTACACACATCCTAAAATAGACTTCTACTCTATTACCCCATAATATTTGTGGGGATAGGAGACAGAACGAAACTCAGCCTTCTGGATAATGCTGCCACCTTGATTCTTGCACACGATTGCACACCACCTCCTCCACACTCAAATTTTAAAATTTGAAGCTAATTCCTGGTACCTTTATTTAATTCCAGGTACCTTTAATTCAATAATCTCTGGTAGTGTAGTGGTTACGAATCGGGCTGCGAACCGCAGTTTGAAACTACCATCTGTTCCACAGGAGAAAGATGAGGCTTTCTGCTCTCACAAAGATTTACAGCCTTGGAAATCCTGTACAGGGTCGCTATCAGTCGGAACCGACTCCATGGCACATAACATCAACAATCTCAAAATGAAGCATCAGCAGGGAGTTGTGGGGAGCCCCAGAACTGAGAATTGGCCCTGCTTTTAGGATTCTGAAGAGAGTTTCATAGGAGCTATCCTGTCTCTCCTTCAATCCCTGGAATCCTTGGATAAACCCATTCACCTGCTTCCTCAAGGGAACAGTTTGGGATTAGGTGTACTCGAAGGCCTCACCTTGGGATTCCTAATGGAGAGTAACCCAAGTCCAACCCACTGCAGTCAAGTAGACTCTCACTCATCCTGACCCTATAGGGCTGAGTAGAATGCCCCAGAGGATCTCAAGGGGAAACCCATTGCAGCATGGAGAGCTGACACCTCCCAGGATCCTACTAACCTCTGGAGGAAGGTCCTCGTCTCCTTGGTGATCTTCATGAGAGGCTGCCATCTCTCTTGCCCATCTCTGCTCATCTCGCTTGATGAATTTCTTTTCATGTCTCGAGAGACTGATTTAAGACACACCTTATATTAATCCTGCCTCATTAATATAACAGACCACCCACTCCCAAATACTCACAGGTATAACATATTGTATTGTTAAGTGCCCTAGAGTTGTATTCAACTCATAGTGACCTGGTATAGGATTTTTGAGGCGTGGCTCCTGGGTTTGAACTGACAGCCTTGCAGTTAGCAGTCCAATGCTTATCCTGCAGTGCCACATTGTTGTTAAGTGCTGTGGAGTCACTTAGCCTCATTTTTCTCCAGCAGAGCGACTGGTTGGCACAAACGGCAGACCTTGCTGTCCTTGTTGAGTGCCATTGAGTTGGTTCCGACCCAGCAACCCTGTATAGGTTTTCCAAGGAGTGGCTGGTGAGTTTGAACCACTGACCTTGCAGTCCAGACCAAACTTGTGGAAGTCTAGTGTGTTATCCTGCTGCGCCACACCAGGAATCCACAGCACCACATAGAGGTTAGGCATTGCAACACATATTTTCAGGGGACAGAATTCAACATTTAACAAGGCCCTTTGGTGGGCATATATGATAGATACCCTGCAACTATGCCAGGCCCTGGGAACACACACATTAACACAGCATCATCCAGCCCCAGAAGCATTTGTCTATTAAGAGGAAATCCATCAAATGATTAAACATTGGTTTAGGTGCTGGAATGGAGATGGACAAGGG